TGAATACGACAAGCACCAAGAATTTTACCCGGTAAGAACGAAGATAAGGACCGAGAGTCTTACCCGGTAAGTGATGACGACGACTCTTATCACAGTTAACGCTTACCGGGTAAGCTATTACATACAATGTCGTTTTGTCTGACTAAAATCTTACCAGGCGGTAAGCGCTTACCAGGTAAGTGTTTAGGTAAACGGCCCCTAAGATTGATTGATAAGTTAATTCTAATTACTTGGTTAACCAATGATTATGGGTATATATAAGAGACGAATGATCGTGTAAGAATAGGAGTAAATGTGAGAAGAGTAAGACGGGATTTGGGCCCTTAATCTCACCTCCACCCCGTGAATGGTGCATTGGTGCTTGATACATGAATTGATCTAGTGCACCTCAATGTATCTTATTATTGTTGATCTTCAATTATTTTTAATCCAAGGATATAGATTCGTCCTTAATTTTTCACTTTAACTTTTATTCTCGCTGAAATTCAACCTATATTGGTTGCGTTGCGAATTTTTGTTGGATGAGAAAGTTGAATTTTGATTTCTAAGCCTTTAAAATATTGATGAACGGCTAAAAACACAAACGGTAGTAACGTTACAAGTTAATGGAACTTCTACGTCAATGATATAAAAAGCAAAATGAGATCCACCGATATTTCTTAATTTAATGTAGACCATGGGGTGTCCTTGTCGTAGTGTAAAAAAATTATAGGATCGTGAAAAGTGTCATCGTAGTAATTTGTTGTGTGTCATCATATATATTTTGAAACTACAATGAAGATACAAGTTTTCCATGGTAGAGTTAGTTTGAAATGTTTTTCTTCCACACTGGGTCTGGACCTAAGTTATAATAAAGCGTTATTTTCTTAGTTTTTAACTTTTAATTACGGATTTATCATGTTTTTGAATATTTTTTGCAGTAAGAGACTTGAACACATGACCTCATATATAAAAAACAATAAACTAATTAATAGACTTAGGGGTGTAAATGAGACGAGACAACTCGCGAGCTACTCGAAATCGACTCGGTCAACACTCGACTCGAATAAGTTCGACTCGA